AAAAAAAAGTGATTTAATATGTAGTTTATTGTTTAATGGTTTCTTATAGCGTGATATTTATTTGATCTTTGAATTTTTTAAATCAGAGTTGGTAGATCTTTTCTTCCAAAACCTAAAAATCCTTATTCTATTGTATTGGGTGACTCTGAATCGATCCAATTACCACAATATGAAGCTTTTCCAATCCGTTAGTTGAAATTTTGAAAGTTTCCTTTTTTTTAGTATCTTGATAAAAAACAAAAACAACAAAATATTTATATACATGGGTTCGATTTGTGTATTCTTGATTTAGATGATAAGGTTAAACATAAAGAAGGGTATATTCTTAATGTTGGTGGTTCAGTTTGGGCACTTGACTGGTGCCCCAACAATGATTCTTCCCGTAATATATTTTTAATATTTAATTAAATACAATATTATATAACAATCAATTAATAATAATTATTTTAAATTTTCTTAGAGACTCAATGTATAGCAATAGGCACATACAAGGATACAACGGAGGAATTACATCCAATTGGCCGTCGTCAAAAAGACAATTTAAATTGTGCAATACAATTCTGGAGAATGGATCAACAACAAATCGATGATGACGATGATGATGATAACGACGATGACAACGATGACGATGATAATGATCAGAAAGAAGATAAACAAGTAATTATGGATTTACCAAAGTTAGATCTAGTAATTTGTCATAATTTCGGCAGTGCATTTGATATTCAATGGACTCCTTACGGAGCACAAGACTATTACGAGGTATTTTTTTAAAAATACATGTATGTATATATATTTATGCATATGTATATTTAAAATATATTTTACACTTTATTTAGGAGGGCAAACAAGATGATTCTGTTGATATAATTCCGAAATTAGGGATAATAGCAATATCCTTTGGGTGTGGTCTTATTGGAATTTTTGCTGTTCCTCGGTCAAAATACATTAGGGATAAATTGAATTTATCTAACGACATTGAAGCACCATTATATAGTAACCATAAATGATTTTATTTTTAAAGAGCGTGTATTTAATTCCACATTCTTTATTAAATAAACCTCATCTGATAAAAAAAAATATATAGTAAAGTTTACAAATCCATTATTAACTTTGTCAATTCCGCATGTTATATTTCGTACTATAAGTTGGGGCGGTAATCAAAAAATTGCTGCTGGCTGTACAAATGGTTTGTACAAGTTACACATTAATCATCATTACATTCGAAAAAGAAAAAAAATAATATATTAATGATTAATTAATTAACTAGGTGATATCGCAATATGGAATGTCCAAGAGATTCTTCAAGCAAAATTTAACAACAATATCATTGATCCTGAAGGTTATAAATACATAATATTTATTTAATTCTCAACGAATAAACGTTCCCAGTTTTAGATTATAACAATTAATGTTTATCTTAAAAGTTACATCACCTATTCAATTCTTTCGCGCGCACGATTCATGCATTAGGCTGCGTATATTGTGTGAGAGGTGTTTGTGCAAAGATATAGGCTGAGGAGGGTGAAGGTGCTGAAGCTAAAGGATATGTCGGGTTTTGAGGATACGAATTAACTGAAGAAAGAGATGATGATGGTTGTTGCATTGATGGATAAACTATTCCTGCGTTGGATGATACTGGTGAAATAATTCTTTGTGTACCAGCATAGTTAGAGGTACGACGTGAATATGTGTTAGACATCCTATCCTCCAAAAGTCGATCATATAATTTGATAACTTGAGATAATTTTTCATGCATTTCCATGAGATCCTCTATAAATTAAATATTATATTAATAAATTATCTTGAACCTATTTTATTTTTAAAAAAATTATACAAATCAACTTACGATGCCTTTGTATTGTTTCTGTCAAGTTCTTTGTTAGCTTTGGCTTTAATTCACCAATCCTATCATATAATTCCTAATCAATAAAAGAAAAAATCGAAGGTAAGAAATCTTTTTAATTGGTCGAATAAGCATATCATATGGAGCCAAAAAACCAAAATAATAATTAACTTGAACTTGTCGATCTCTTATCAAATCTGAGCCACTTTGTTGTATTTTTTCAAGTAAATCTGAGAATTTATAAATGTTATCTGCTTCAATTTGTGATAATTCGTTTTGATCCTTTGGCACATCAAAAGGATAGGCAGATGATGATGATTGATGATCATATTGTGTTTGAGTTGAATATTTGGATTGATCGATCTTTAAGTCTTTAAGAGATGCTGCAATAGCTGCAGCCAAATCATCGTCCATTTCTTCCTCCTTTATATATTTAACAGGGAATAAAAAAATGAGTATATTTAACAATCTTAAATGAAAGTAGATGTGTATTGAGTATTATATATATATATACACAAAATAAGAGTTGCCTACCTGTTTATTAACAGGTTCTGATGTTTTTACTACTTTTTGTTGTTGCTGTTGTTGCTGCTGTTGTTGATTAGATTGTAAATAAACTCCTCGAGTATTATTTTTATTATTTTTAGTTTCTTTAAGAGAAAGTTCTATCGCTTTTTTAAAGTCCTCATCCTCTTCATCGCTTCCTTGAGATGTATGAGTATCATTTCCATTTGTTGTTGCAGAATTTGAATGTAAAGTTGAAGCTGGACCATTTAAAACAGGTTTTGAATCCGCGAGATCAACACTAGCACTGTAAATAATCAAAATTTTGTTCCGATTTAATGAGAAAATACATAAAGCTTTAATAATTTTTAATTTTATAATCTTACCTTTTAGCTTTTGACTGTTTTTTCATAAGGCAGGCGTCACAAACTCTTACTGGTTCGTTTATACCAATGCTAGGCAATGTAGTTGATTTAGAAGAACATTCACCACAGAATGTTTTACCACAATTTCTACAATGATGCTAAATATGATAGGTGAAATGAATAAAAATTTTTTTCAGTTAAATTTTATTAAATTCGATTTAAATTTTAATCTAATCAAAATTAGAAATTTACTTTTCTGTTTAATAAAGTAAATGGAGTTCTGCATCTAACACAGAAATCGCTGTCAGACCATTCTGGTGGCTACGGAAAATGATTATAAAAAAATAGAATTTTTGATGTTATGATTATGAAAATACTTGTAAATTTTATTATTAATCTTAAAATAAAAATCTCCTACTGTGGCAGTATCAATCATCATAATTGATGTGGATTTATCGACTTTTGGAAATACATAACCTATCAATAAATAATAAATAATAAATAATAAATAATAAATACAAGCTTTTTTTTTTTTTAATGTTGAAAGAAATTTCCGATAAATTTGAAAATATCCAAGATAAATAAATAATAAATTTTGTTTTTACCTTCATGTTTCAATAGTCGATACGTTTCGGTTACATACACGAGTTCAGGTTTTCCTTCAAAAGCCAAAGCCCATGTTTGAATTAATCCAAGAAGTTTTTCTTTGACATCATTATTAGATGTGCTCTATAATAAAATCCCCAATGTTTATGAATTATTATTATTTTTATATTAAAAAAAAAATCGCAATTTATAAAACAATCAACGTACAGCCGGTGATCTTACAATTCCCAGTAAACTATCAACAAACTCTCAAGATGCAACTTCAATTAAAAAATGATGCCCGCCATTTTTAACACAAGTGTCCGTTAACTAGGTAAAAGTATATAAATATTATTTTAAATTAATTTTTTTAGAGTAAATAAAATAAAATAGAATAAATGATGATCAATAAATACATACGCTTAAAGCCAAAAGCTGCACGTAAGGGTTAGTGTGTGTTATTTTACGCTTAAGAGCTCTCATGGCATCTTTAGGTTGAACTTGTTTACTACGAATTTGATCGCTAATTTCAAGATTTAAGGCCAAATCTTCTTGTCCTTTCTGAATAGTTTCTGATGTAGCCTTTTCTATTATATTAATAAAATATTGATGGTTCCTTGTAGAGAATTTTGAAATAATTTGACGAAAGCTTTAAAATCAAATATGGAAATTTATAACATACCAACAGACTCGTCAAATGGATTGCTACCAAAAAGTCTTGAAACCATTTTATTTTAATTTATTTAAAATTATATGGGTTATAATTTACGATTTAATAAAAAAATAAATAAAAAATTCAGAATACGACAATGTTTAAAAAAAGCCACCATTGTAAAACAAATTAAATTGATTGGTCTAAATATAATTACGTCATTTTGATCGGTAGGGGATAAAAAAAAAATTTTCTAGAGTACAATAATGTCAAAGCAAACTCAAAACAAAAATAAAACCAAACTCAAATCACGGTTTAATGTTCCTCGTGGCGATACCAACGGGGTTTTTAATGATGATTGGTTGTACTCGGTACTTTCTCCTAAAACAAATCTTTTACAAAGCCTGAGGAAAAATCATGATCTGATTGAGGAAGATTCATATAATTTTGTTAAATTTAAACTTTGCGATTTTGAGTTATTGGTTGAACTGTAGTTAAGC